GTATCGTTCTCAATTGGATGGTTACTCGGTTCCATTGTGCTATCTGCTTTGGCTTTGACTACTTGGACTTCAGTGTGATTTTGCATTCTGGATTTCTGTTCTTCGTCCATATTCATGTTACTTTCAATTTGGTATCGGAGCTGGTTTGATCGCCACTTACCTCTGGCACGCTGACGTTATACAGACTTGGTGCGTTGACGATGCTTCTTCGCAGTTGGTACTTGTGACGTCAGGCCATTGATAGGCGCACGCCCTGGGTAGAGAGGGGTGCACCGGAAGGTTAAGACGACAGTATATGCCGTGGTGACAGGCGGAATGTATGATTGGTGATGAGAGCATGCTGATCAGGCATTAGGTTGAGGTGGCACTGCATTGCGTTGTGGGTGGTACCGAGGTCATGATCGGTCATCAAATGCAACATCAGCTCAATTGGTGAGAAAATCTGTGGTTGGGGGCAGCTATCTCCAGGTATGTTGATCCCTTACCTTATCTACCTTCTCAATCTCTTCTTACCGTGAGGAAGTGAGTCCAACTTGAGAGTCCTCTCCTTGGTGAGGTGTCGTGATCGCGCTACCTTGAGAGACGACAATCTTCCCGGAAGCATCTGGAAGGAGAAAGGGCGGTGCCTCTGAAGGGCCCTGGTCGAAGCACTGGGTCACGGTCACCATGCCAACCCACAAGGAGTAGTGCACGCATGCGATGGCTGCTGTCCTGTTTGGCACTTGCTGCGCTCAAATAGAAGTCTTGCCGGGTGTGCCAACCTTTTAAGAGACGCTTACCAGACCGTCTATAAACATTTCTGGTGGGACTCAGAATGATTCAGGTTGTGATCGTCGTCCTGACTGCGACGTTAAAGAATTCCTGAAGAGATGGGGGCGCTCTATAAATTCCTCCTGATCAGCCAGATCATCCGGGTGTAAGGCTCGTTTCCGTACGAGGGTAAATAAGAGTGGACTGGCTGGCTTGCTCGGCTCTGACTTGGGCACAGGGGTGGGCCGATACACACACGAAAACACTGCTTTGCTAAATGATGTTGTCCGGATGGTTGGATTGAGGGGAAGTGTGGATTCCAATTGGTGCTCAACTGTATACACAACCATACCCATCAATCATACATCTGTTACATGGTCATTTTGTACTCTTGATTAGTTGGTGGACAGACTGCTAACACCTCACAAACAGACTAGAGTAGGACTGAAGTATACTACCATAGCCAGTTCTATCTAGTGCTGCTGTAAGTGAACCAATCAGAGTGCATCTAGACTATGTAGACAATCTGTGTGAATGTTGTAGGTATGCCACTTGATCGGTACAGTAAGGGACCTGCCGGACGCAACTATTTTTAGAAAATTAGGTGCCGGTCAAACACATGCTGTGGTAGGATTCCACTAGGGGATTGTAGTGCAGACAATGTTTGCCTAATTCATAAATGGATCAGACATCGATGAGGAGGGAGTTGACGGTGCTAGACTAACACGTGCTAAATCACTTAGGGTCCCGCATGTGTTCAAGACCTTAGCACCGGGAGAAGAAAGAAGGCTTCGTGCCGAACGCAGAGCTCGTGCTCTCGCAGCATCGAGAGAGGCAGCAAACGTTGCAGCTAGGGAACAGGCTGCAGCAGCAGCCATGTCTTCTGCAGCAGCATCCTCCGCTGCAACTTCTGTTGCGTTCTCGTCTGGACCCCAGTTTGGAATGCCAACAGGGTCCCCGGGCACTTCGAGTGTTGTAGGATCACGACAGTCTACAAGTCAAATGGCCGGCGCGCAGTTCAGCCCGTTGACTTCTCGCGAAAGGGAGCTCAGGGAGCTTCAACAGGTCGAGAGGATCCGTGAACAATTAGAGAGGGACCTGAAGAAAGCTACCGATAGAGAAAAGGAAATCAGTAGTAGAATAGCCAGGCTTGAAGCGTTAGAGACTAACAAGGCAGAGTTAGAGGGATTAGAGGAATCAGGTTTGAACCCTTGAAAGTGTTGAAAAACAACATGTTGTCGCTGCATGCGCATGTGGACAGAAAGTTGGATTTCATGCAGAGCACTTTGGACCAAATCCTGGACATTTTGACAAGGCCAGGATTTAGGCCACGAGCGAAATCTCCTTTGCCGTTATCGGCAATGTCAGGTCCCTTTCCAGCTCAAGCTGGTACACAACCAAGTGGTACGTCTGCAGCAGTCTCACAGACTGTTGCATCTTCTTCTTCGGGTCCAGCGGTGATTGCTACATTACCGCAACAACCTGTTCCTCAACAGGGACAGCAGCAAGGTCAATGGTACCCCAAGACCCCAATGAAACCGCCTCTTGCCTTTTCAGGTGAGAGAAAGGACGAAGAACTCAACACATGGTTGAGGACCGTCCCGGTTTGGGTAAAGGCAAAAAGGACCTTGCCTGAGGACGAAGTGGTAACTCGGCATCTTACCTCGAGGGTAAGGCAACCAAGTGGCTAGATGGAGTAGTTGTAAAGGCCGGGTACGGGTGACACATGGCGGACTGGGCTAAGTCTCTGACGTTAGACCAGTTCATGGAAATGGTAGAAGCTCGATGGCAAAATCCACAGGAGGAGCAAAGGGCCGCTGATGCCATTAACAAACTAGACCAACGCAAGTTCAAGTCGGTTTAGAGAGCTTACGACTACTGTTGAGAGCCTGATCGTCGTTCCGGGCATCAACTATAGTGACCAGTTCCTGTTGACTACTTTTGTTAGATGTCTTCCAGAGAACATTAGGAACTTGCTGGCCAGCGAGGCACGCACAAAGTACCATTCGTTTGAGACATTGTCTATGAAGGCTTTAGATTTGGAGGCCACTCTAGGCAATGCTCAACCCACCTCACAGAATGACTCAAAGAAGAAGAAGAGTCCTCAGGAGTGGAAGAAGAAGGGAGCAAAGTTGATGATGGTTGAGTCTGATGGGTCTCAAACTGAGATTGACGAACTCTCTGACCTGATGGAGTATTCAGAGTATGACGGCGAGGAGATAGCTGAGGGTAGCACCCTCGCCGCGGTAGTAAAGACTAAGGCAGGTGGCCGAGGGAAGGGCCAACCTAGGAGTCAAGGAAAGGCCGCCTCCAATCAGGCCAAAGTGGCTGAGTGGGTGAAGGCAGGTCTTGACCAAGACGTGTGGCGTGACCGCCGAGTGCGCGACGCTTGTATTAACTGCGGGGAATACGGACACTCGCAGTACAAGTGCCAGAACGCGAAGGTTACGCAAAAGGTAGCTCCAAAGATAGGGGCATCCTATTCCCAGGCTTCTAGCTCGGGAAACACGTGAGGCCAGTGGAAGTTTTAGCAGCTTCTACTCAAGATGAAGTGGGCTTGATACCCTCCCCACTTCATGACAAGGCCAAAGCTAATGACTCCTTAGTCACCCCACAAACACATCTAAACCAAACTATGCTCTGTACGTTAGATGTGTCTGAAGCCTTAGAAGACTTAGAAGGTGAGTGGTCAAACAAGGATCCTCACGAGTCTTGGGTGGCGCTGAAGAAAGGTCCTAGAGGGGAACATTTCGTGGCGGAAGTGGATGTAGGAGGCCGCAAATGTGGTGCCTTCATAGACATCGGATCCATGCGAAATTACATAAGTCGCGATTGTTTGGAAAGGCTGCACCTACAGGACCGGGTACGGCACATTAGTAGACCAGTAGCATCTACTTTGGCTAACAAAGAGCGCATGATTGTAACAGACTATATCAAGGACGTAGTCAGTACCTTCTCCTATGGAGGGGGAGAACTTAACCATAAGATCTCGTTCTTGGTTAGCGACGACTTACCATTTGACATGTTATTAGGCATGTACTACCTCGAAGTTGCTAAGCCCCAGTTCGATTGGGATGAGAAGGTGCTTAAGCATAAGTTGCCCGATGGCCGAACTGTCAGGTTGACTAAGTTCAAGGCCAGTAGCATTAAAGATACCTACGGCTGCTTGTGCGCATCAGCGTTCTACAATTACTAGAAGCAAAACGAGGAGGAGGGTATGTACCTTGTGTATGTCTCTGAGAAAGGGAAGGTCGTTAAAACACCCCCAGAGATAGAACGCGTCGTTGCTAAGTTCCCTGATCTGTTCGAGGAGCCCACATGAGTTGTTGAAAGGGAAGTCGTCCACGCTATAGAAATCATTCCAGGGAGTAAGACCCCAAAGGGAAGGATCTATAGGATGGCCCCCGCCGAATTAGATGAACTTCGGCGACAACTTAAGGAGTTGACAGAGAAGGGATGGATTCGGCGTAGTGCTTCCCCTTACGGATCACCCGTTCTATTCGTACCGAAGAAAGGGGGTACTTTGAGGATGTGCATTGACTATAGAGGCCTCAATGCCATCACAGTGAAGAACGCAGAGCCTCTACCTCGCATAAACGACCTATTGGATAGGGTGCAGGGATGCAAGTACTATAGTAAGATAGACTTGAAATCCGGATATCATCAAATCGCAATAAGACCTGAGGACCAACACAAAACAGCCTTTCACACCAGATACGGTCTGTATGAGTTTGTAGTGATGCCCTTTGGTCTTTGCAATGCGTCGGGTACATTCCAGCACGCTATGAATCAGATCTTCCATGACCATTTAGATAAGTTTGTCGTGGTATACCTTGACGACATTCTAATCTTTAGCAAGTTWGCCGAGGAGCATGCAAAGCACGTTGAGACTGTACTCTCACTCCTGCRACAACACAAGTATAAAGTCAACTTAGAGAAGTGTGAGTTCGGTCACACTAAGATACTATACTTGGGTCATGAAGTATCCGCGGAAGGGATTAGGCCGGAGGATGCGAAGGTGGCTAGTATTCGAGACTGGCCACGACCTGAGACTGTCACTGAGGTCAGATCTTTCTTAGGAATGTGCGGCTACTATAGGAACTTCGTAAAGAACTATTCTACAGTCGCCTCTCCTTTAACTGATCTAACTCGACTTGACACGCCGTGGGACTGGAGTGATGAGTGCGAGGGTGCTTTCAAGAGATTGAAGCATGCACTCATGAATCATGAGGTCCTCATGGTTCCCAATCCTCAGAAGTCATTCATAGTGACCATTGACGCAAGCCAATACGGCATTTGCGCAGTGCTGGCTCAACAGGATGGGAAAAAGTTGAGACCGATTGAGTACATGAGTAAGAAGATGCCATCAAAGAAGTTGGCAAAGTCCACCTACGAAAAGGAACTATATGCTTTACATAAAGCACTTGTCCATTGGAGACACTTCCTATTAGGAAGGTTCTTCTACTTGAGGACTGATCACCAGACCCTCAAATGGATCAAGACTCAACCGGCGCTTTCTGACGCACTCAAGTGGTGGATTGAGGTCATAGACCAATATGACTTCAAGCTTGAGTATCTGAAGGGAGAGTACAACAAGGTTGCAGAAGCGCAATCATGTAGAGCAGACTACCTAGGTGCGCTAGTTTCTGACTTTGGCGTATCTGATGAAGTAACTCAATCATTGGTGGAAGCCTATTAGGAAGACCCTGTCACGATGGACATCATTCGCAAGCTTCAGGCAAAAGACAAGGCTACGGAAAACGAGTTTGTGATGGTGGACGGGCTCCTCTATCTTGATAAGGCCGAAATAAAAAGATTAGTAGTTCCATCTAGTGAACCTTTGCATAGTTTATTCTTAGGAGAATGCCATAACGCAACTAAACACTTTGGCTACAAGAAGACGAGTGTTAACCTAGTACAACAATTTTGGTGGCCAGGAATGTTTGATGACGCAAAGAAGTACGTAGAGACCTGTCAGGTCTGTCAGCGGGACAAGCCGCGAATTCAAGCACCGCTTGGGTTGTTGAAGCCTTTGCCTATTCCTGCTGGTCCAGGACAGGGTGTTTCCATGGATTTCATGGACACCCTGGTGACTAGTAAGAGTGGCAAGAGGCACATCTTCGTCATCATCGGTCGATTTACCAAGTACGCTAGACTAGTGGCTATGCCAGAGACCGAAAGAACTGACTATGTCATCAAGTTGTTCAAAGACAACTGGGTGCGTGACTTTGGTTTACCAAAGTCAATCATTAGTAACCGAGATGTCCGATTCACGAGTGAGTTGTGGAAGAAGACTGCAGAACAGATGGGCAATCAACTTCAGATGACTTCGGGGAATCATCCCGAAGCCAACGGACAAGCCGAGCAAATGAATAGAGTTGTACAGCACTTGCTGAGGCATTACATCAAGCCCAGCCAGGATGACTGGGATGAGCAGTTGCCTCTCATCGCCAGTCTGTACAACAATGTTGTCCATAGCAGTACCGGCGTTAGTCCTAATCAACTTCACTTGGGATGGAAGCCTAGATCAGCATTAGACTTCCACCTACCTGAAAACCGACCCGCTGCAACTCCAGGCATACTTGAGTATGGTGTGCAATATGAGAAGTTGTTGCAAGATGTTGTCGAGCACATGAAGAAAGCTCAGCAAGCAATGAATGCTTCTGAGAATCAACACCGTAGACAGTCCACATTTCAGGTAGGGGAACGTGTCTGGGTCAAGGCTAGTGAGTTAGGACAGGAGTTCGGAATCTCTCGCAAACTAATGCCTCAGTATTTTGGTCCCCGGGAAGTCCTGGATATAGTGGGAGATGAGATGGATGGTCCCACATATGTCATTCGTGTCCGTGGACACTTACGCACTCACCCAGTTTTTCATGCCTCAAAGCTTGCACCTTTCGCTGAGACAGATCAATTCCCTTCCAGGAGATCGATACTGCCCCCAACCATGGATGGTCAAGTGGACATCGACGACATTGTGGATCACAGAGATCTGCTTGTTCAGAAGCCATTGGGTAGAGGAAGACCTCCTAAACCAAAGAGAGAGTATCGCGTCTGATTCAGGCATCATACGGATCCAAAGGAAGATCGGTGGTTTACCAGAGAGGAACTGATTGACACATCTCCTCAGGTGGTGGCAGAATATGAGAGACTGCTGAAAGGGAAGGCACCTACGAAGTACTTTCGAAGCTAAGGGGGATGGAATGTGAGGATTGAGCCCTCAAGAAGGGGCGTTGCCATGATGTACTGGGCTAAGGCCCCAGCAAGCCTCGTGCCCGCCCTAAGTGAAGGCGGGCCAGCAAATCAACAAGAGCCCTCTGTGCAAACATTTTCCAAAGTGGGGTCCATATAGTTGCAGCACGCCAGTTGGTTGGAGTGCACCAAGTCTCGGATTTCAGCAAATGCTGAAAACCCAGGGCCTCTGAGTTAGTGAGGCCCTGAACACTTGAACGTGAGGCCGAAAATGCATGCTGGGTATAGAGGCCGAAAATGCCAAAGGGAAATCGGCCCACTATCTGAATCTGGCCGCAGGCCTTGACGAAAGAGGTGCAACTGCANAATGCATGCTGGGTATAGAGGCCGAAAATGCCAAAGGGAAATCGGCCCACTATCTGAATCTGGCCGCAGGCCTTGACGAAAGAGGTGCAACTGCATCCCCCGGGCCTCAACTGTAATGGGCCTGGGTTCAACCACTGGGGCTCAGACGCAGGCTGAAGGGAGGCCACCCACACGCAGTACTGGCATATAGGCAAGTAGGGCGAGTGGGCAGGGATCTTGGCCAATGCGGGCATTGCGGGCACGCTGCATGAATGCATGTGTGTTGCGCTGTGCAGAGCTGCGTTGCGCTAAGGTGAAGCAGGCTAGCGCTAGGCGGTAGGGCGCTGCCTGCATGCAAGGCACTGGCGGCCATTGCCAGGCTGCATGAGGGTGCAGGAGAGGTGAAGGGCGAAGGTGGTTCTTCGGAGGTGAAGGAAACTTTGTGGGTAACAAGGGAGAGTGTGGGTGAAGAGGGCACGTACCTGGTGGAGGTGGAGGTCAGCATTGGTGTTGACATCATCACGCGTTGGTAGTCAAGTTGTCTGGTTGCTTTCATTGTTGTAGTTGTAGGCTAGGCTGTAGAGTAGATAGGGTGTCTGGCGCCATTCATAAGAGAGAGCTACATTGGGCTATGTTGTTGGTGTTGCCCTGTTGGGCATGGACATTAACTCACGATTCTTCTGTATCGTTCTCAATTGGATGGTTACTCGGTTCCATTGTGCTATCTGCTTTGGCTTTGACTACNGCTTTGACTACTTGGACTTCAGTGTGATTTTGCATTCTGGATTTTTGTGCTTCGTCCATATTCATGTTCGTTGCACTTTCTCTACGGGAAGCGCTGCCGAAATTTCTGCAACTCTAAGGAGTTAGTCAAAACTCAGATTTTTCAAAAGTTCAAACTTGTCTGATTTTTATATATCTGGCTTAGCAAAAATCTGGGAAGTCTCCTTTTCTAAAAGGAGTGCTGCTCAAATTTTTGCTAATTCAGGGAGTTAGACAAAATTTGACTTTGAAGGGTTGAAGATTATTTTTGTTTTCATATTTAGGCTGATATAAATTCTGGAAAGGAACTTTTTCTACGGGAAGCGCTGTCGAATTTTTTTTAGTTTAGAGGAGATAGATTATACTTTGACAGATGGCGACTCTGGCGATCCACTCTGTATGGGGGAGATTTTGCCATACGTCTACCTTTCTTTAAGCATTGGCCTAGAGATAGACCTACGCTTGGCTATCAGAAGAGTCTTGAGTGAGGGTGTGTCATGGGGATTTGATCTCCATACATTGACGATTTAGCTTGGACATTGGCCTGTCGTATGATACAGGTCTTCTTTGAAACATTTGATCCAAGATTTGGACTAGATTCAGCTTGATTCTACGAGGATCATTTTCTGTTATCACTGATAACAGATCGGTTGGTTGATCGCCGACTTGTCGACACACGACACAACTTTGTTTGCACCTGTACCTCAATTGATTGCCTTAACCATGTGATTTGATATGTTTCTTTGAGGGTTTTAACCAGACTTATGACCATTATAAAGAATTTATGAGATTTATGAAAACTTGAACTATGATTGGGGCTTGACTGTGTGAGGCATGGTGTGAGTTATAGGGAACAATAAAGTTGACCACATTGGTGTATGGCAATGTGGCTATTGTGTGTGCCTGTGTTTTATGCAGGTTAGTATTTTTGAAGGTTGGTATATGGGTCATACTTTGGAGGCAGTGAGGATGACAACCATGTGACGCACGATCTGCATACGTGATGGGTTTATGTTTCCCCTCTTTTATTTTATCTCAAGTTCTGATTTGATATATGAGTGTTGGGTGTTTACTCATTTATTGATTGATTTTACCTGTTAAGTTATATAGTTGGACATTAGAGTCTGTGGCAGCCGTCAGAGTCAAACCCCTTGACTTCTCTTCAGGCCCTAGATGATGGAGCTGGTCTCCAGGGCAATAAGAGACGATTGCACCACAGGTATGAACCTATGTACCACCCACTCTCTGCAGGGTGCAGAAGAGGGTGTGGTTTCCAACCGCGCTTAGCGGTTGTCCAGCGTCGAGAGATTAACCCTCAAGGCGCGTGTCAGCCGACACTTGAGTGTCGAACACGACCCTCGAGATTAACGAGGAACTCATGAGTATGGGTACTACATAGTACGCCATCATTGCGACCGCTTGCGTACGCTTGCATTGCGAGTCGATATGAGTTAGCCCTGCGTCCGCGCGGTTTTATACTACGTCTCGCACCCGTCGCCTATTCAATTTCCTCATCGGAGAGTTATGGGATGACTACTAAGGGACTAGGAGTGTTGTCGCGTTGTTTGTTCTGTGTCGTTTTGTGTATGTGTATGTGTGTGTGTTTTTACTTTTTTGTTTTTTATTGTGGTGTGTGTGTGGTGTGTGGGATGCGTCCTAGTCGACCGACGACGGGTCGCGCTTGGGACTTCAGCCCCCCAAGATGTCGATTTGCGTGCGGGTTCGATAGAGGTGTAGTACCGCGCGTACCCCCTATGCTACAACGAACGAGAAACGCCCTCGGCTGGTCCACCTCTGCGATTGCAACTGATTAGCTTTCGTATTGTGGACTGGTAGCTCGGCGGGGATACGCCCACCGAAGGGAGGTGACAACTCCCGTAAAGTGGAGGTAAGTTGTGCCTCGCGTAGGCCCTATCCTGTCGTAGGGGCTCGCGAGAGGTATGGTTGGCGCACTCGGCCGGAGCGGCTTGCGGAAGCTCCATCATGTATTCGTGACGAGGATTTAGACCAACTCCTGCGTGACGCGTCCGGGAGGGTCCCGCGCTGCCCTTGTGCGGTGCCGGACCGATGCGCTCGACAGGTGGCGTCGTTGCCAGGGATAACGGTTGTCTTCCGTTGTCCCTGGTGGAACGACATCTGGGTATGAGAAAGTGAGAACTAGGCAAAAGGAGAAGTTTTATTTTGACGTACATGGTCGATTGCTTGATGCCTTGACTATCGTTGGGGATATCTTAAAAACTGTGGTCTAAGAGTGATAAGCGTTGATTATCAGTGTATGCACAACTTACTTGAGGAAGAAAGTGTTTGGCTATACACTTAAGTATTCTGACGCATATAATAGTGGTCTCAGCGAGCACCTTGTCATCTTAAGTATCTTTTGATAATTGGGCGATATGTGGCGTGTCTGATGCGGCCTTGGTTGAGTTGAGGCAGCATCAGCATTGTCGAGCATGTCTATTACCAAAGCAAACTCAGTTGATAACTGTCAAAGCTATGAGACTAGTGACATATTACGTGAGTTATGTGCTAAGCCTGTTTTGGGATGTAAGGACGTTAAGCTGAGACGTCTCCCCCTTTGCCAAAAGAGTGCCGCTTTAGAAGAGGTTGTTGAAACGTGAGCGACATGGATGAGGGGATGACGGACAAGCACGAAGTGAGGGGTTTAATGGCAAAAATATTTTTTGAGTTCAGACTGAATTATGGTGTAATAGGTACTGCGATGAATATGGTACCTTGAACCATTGATAGTATTAGTTGGCGATGAGATGAGTCACTTGGAGATTGTCTAGTTGTAACTACAGATAAAGTTAAAGAAGTAGTGGTTATTTCGATTTGCAGTGTGGCTAACCTGAAGAGAGACTTATGTTTAAGTATGTGAAATATATGTATGTATTTGTTTTTATGACTGTTTTATCTGGATTGTTGCCATATATGCGTTGTTCTGTATTTTGTTTGATATTTGACTGATGATGTATGTATGGATTGCCTTTCGAAGAGGACATAGACTTTGCATGAAACCCACATCTGGCATGGGACCAGAGGTGAATGGGGTGACTCACTCCTAGGGAAGGTGGTTCTTCCTCGAGGGAGTAAGTCAGCGTGTATAGTTGTCCCCAGTGAAAGTGCATTCTTGAATTGTTACTCCCTTGTTAAGGCTTAAGGAAGCAGTTATTAGTCTCAAGAATGATAGTGCGACCCACACCGAAATTATGTTCCTGATCCATTAGTGGGGTGTTGTTATCTTTCCTATGATAGGAGAGTTACTACATTATCTGTTGAGAGAAGAGGAAGAGGCTTGTTACCTTATCGAAACTGTGATGGCCAAGTGGAACAGCTACTGCTTAGTGAGAGCGGTTCTGGAGTAGCGACCTAGGCCCGTCTCGCATTAAGCAGAGCCAT